CACCCACACCCACACCCACTCACACCCTCGTTCACAGCTGTACACGAAGTCCGTAATCGTCGACCTGGGAGGCTGTTTTGTGGAAAATGAAGCTTCTATATCGTTTAGATCCGTTATTTAATTCGTCATTGTAGCTTCTTTTACATTGATTTAGTTTCAATGTAGTCGCTAAGGAAGCCATTTTCTAATTTCTGTCCTCCTAGACGGTGCACTGACGCTTGGAATTTTCTGATTGGTTCATTGCTGTCAAGTAAAATTTTTTGTTCCGTTGTGGTAGCTTCTCATCGATCGCTGGAAAGTAAATTTAGAACTGCAATACGTCTTGTTCACTATGCTCCATTGGTTACTGCCACGAATTTGTTTCCATTCATCCACGAACAACTCGTTGTAAGCTATGCCAAACGATATATTTCAAAGAGATTAAAAAATATCTACTCAACCAATTTAGGTACCTCATTATTTGTAGAATACATTTTCTTCTGGGATACTTTTCATAGGCTGCCCAATGACAGGGTAGGACATTTCTTTACGCTGAAGCAAGTGAAGAGGTTAAAACTCAAACATCACTCATTACTCCTAATATGGATAGAGTTTGTCAATCAATAGATCAAACCCCTCACACTCCTTCTCACTTCTCTTCCTTACATAAGATTGAGATTCTAAAACTCAGCGAAAGCTTGGCTGAGGTATGAGCCCTAAACAGCACCTATACCTCTCTCCATCTTTACTAATTTCTTCCCCCTCTTCAATGTTCTACTCTTTTCTTCTTTTTCTTTTTTAATTTGTCTCCTTGCGCCTCCTTATACTCTCTTTTATTTTTCCTTCTCCAATACATTGTTGTTAGCTCTACCTATTGTTTTGTGTTCTTCTTCCGTATTGTCGTTCTTTCCATTTGCATTGTTCCGCTCTTTTTCCTACTCACCTTTGTGTACCCCATTCCTGGGAGTACTTATGAGTGTTACAATAAAATAGAGCTCAAACCAAAACAATGAGGTTCGCAAAATGATCTACTTTAAAAGTACACCGTGTCTTTATCGCTTGCGCAGAGCTTTTCATAGGATATATTAAAGATGGGTTCGTTAATGTCTCCAGTGCGATGGTAGTGCAGTCGAGTAGTTATATAAGGAAGAAGCTTTTCAAATGCATCTTGAAGCTGCTTAGTAGCATTTGCCCTCTCTGCTAATAAACCCTGATTGTCATCATGGTGAGCCCATCGTAGAGTGATGTTGAAATAGTTTCGGGCAGCCTCTCGATGAGTTGCTTGGGCAGTTGTTTTGCCCGAATGATCGGCACGAAAGGCGGCTAACATAGCTTCGTCTTCAGCGGATGGAAAAATGTATTGGAAATTGGGACGATTACCGTGCAGTCGTTGTGGAAGGTTGGATGGATCAATATATTCGGCTAACTCGGCTTCATTCTTGATAAAGCGAATTTTGCTTTCGATTACCGGATCCAACCAGGGTCTAATAATGGCCCAGCAACTTTTGAACAGCCAAGAACTATTTAGAACGATACCAAGACCAAGTAACTCTGGATAGTAACTCTCAAGTAGGTTGATAAACATTTTGGCTGCCTGAAAGTCAACATTTTTCATGCCAAGCCCGGCGACATCCACAACGACTGTAATCGTTTCTATAGGTGCCTCCAGTAATTTCCGGCACATTTCTGCAGCCAAGATAGCTAGTTTCTCAGTGTTCTTTTGTGAGAACTGACCTCTGATATGGTCTCTGGCATGAATGTAGCAAATTGGACGCCCCGCCTTGTCATGACCCATAAAATAACCTTTGCCGGTGGCGGCTTCTTGAAGGGAAATTTGGCTTTCACCATTGGCCAACAACGCCTGAACTCCCCATTCAATTCGCCATTTGAGTAGATCCATTATTTTCTGAATAGCAGCTTTAACATCCCATTTACGCGCACGGAGCCATTGAAGTAGAAGAACATCCGGATTGTCGTAGCCGATCCAAATAAATAATTCGCTCTCATAATCAGAATTAATAATACCCTTAGCGAACAACGAAGTTTGAATGTTGATAGCATTTATCAGAGCTATCCAGCAGTCTTTAAGAGCAGCTTTCTGCGTCTTATCAAGATTATCTATACAACATCAGTTTGACATTTGTGTAGTTCAATCATCTTTACTTACTCACGTGACCGTAATCGTTTGCAGTCATTGACGTAACTTTCAAAATCTAAACGAAACGAAAGTGGTTTGGTAGAGCTGGTGCAATATACGAGTGTCTAGAAAAGAAAGTCTTTAATTATGTCGCGCTTCACAACTTTTTTTAATCCTTTTCCTTCAGTACACGTGGAAAAAAGCAGGAAATTTGTGAATGATCGTTAATAAGTATAA